CACAAATAATTGGATCATTAGGATTCCTAACAAACTACACAAGACCTGACATTGCTTATGCAGTAAATAGACTTAGTAAATATATATCAAATCCTAATAAGAGTCATTGGGATGCTCTAGAAAGAGTTTTGAGATACCTAAAAGGAACTATGAATTATGGTTTACACTATAAAGGTTATCCATCTGTACTAGAAGGTTATTCAGATGCAAATTGGATTAGTAATTCAGTAGATGTAAAACCCACCATAGGATTTGTGTTCCTTTTAGGAGGAGGAGCTATTTCATGGAAATCTACTAAACAAACTGTAATGGCTAAAAGTACAATGGAATCAGAAATGATAGCTATTGATACTACTAGTATAGAAGCTGAATGGTTGAAAGATTTAAAGTACAATGGAATCAGAAATGATAGCTATTGATACTACTAGTATAGAAGCTGAATGGTTGAAAGATTTACTAACTGAAATTCCACTAATGCAAAAACCATTACCAGCTATTTCTATTCATTGTGATTGCAGGTCAGCGATTGACAAATGTCATCAAGAGAATGCATATGTGAAAATGAATCGATACTTGAAAGTGCGAAACAAATCCTTGAGATATAAGATGAAAAATCATATAATAGCCTTAGACTTTGTAAGATCAGAGAAAAATCGAGATATAAGATGAAAAATCATATAATAGCCTTAGACTTTGTAAGATCAGAGAAAAATCTTGCAGATCACTTAACTAAAAATAGCCTTAGACTTTGTAAGATCAGAGAAAAATCTTGCAGATCACTTAACTAAAGGCTTATTTAGGGCATTGGTCTTAGAATCAACGAGGAGGATGAGGTTAAGCCCATAAAAAAATCACTGCAATGGCAACCCAACCTCGCAGAGGTTCAATGGGTAGAAACAAACTGAATGAGTGATTAATTATGAGGAGCAATGAATTTATTTGCTCCCATCCCTAGGGTGATCAGTGCTCATAAAAAGCAAGTGAAAGGTTGAGTCTAACTCTTAATGAATCCAAGACCTATGAGGCAGGATGCTTACTTGCTCGCATCCTTATTAGGTGTAATGACCGTGAAATTTTGATATTAATTAAAATAATTTTCTAGCGTTTTAAAATATTTAATTATGATTTCTAAAAGAGTATTTGTATTTTTCTTGATTTTCTACAATTTTTTATGATTTAAAAATCTGATTATATATTTATTTAAATGATTTTGATATTTTTAAATTTATTTTGTGCGGTAAAAAGTTCTAGAATTAATTTGTTGTGTTATCGACACTAATACGTATTATTTTAAATAATATATTGTATTATTAATATTATTACAAATTATTTCATATAATACATGGTATTATTAATTACGTGTTTTTGGTATAATTTATTGTATTATTTTTATTGTTACATATTATCTGTCGTATTAGTATAACTAGTACGTTTTACTGTGTATATAATTATCCCATAATTATTTGATTTTAAATATAAGTAAATATATTTTCATTATTATTTATTCTTGTTTAATTAAACAATATGGGTATTTTTCGACTATTTCGTATCAATTGTTGTAATAGCACAACATGTGCGTTTTTATTTGTAAATAATTATTTTGTAATTAGTTAATTTTTTAAGTACCTATAATTAATTATTTTAATTAATTTAGTTAAATACCTAACCCTAACCCTAATTTTATATATATATATACACATTTATCTCTCTCTCTCTTCTCTCTCCTTTCAGCAAGAACGCCCGCCTCTTTCTCTCTCCTTCTCTTCTTCACCACACGAGAACCCCGACTCGCTAGAGACTCCAACACAACCTCTACGACCCCGCCCATACTCGCGTCGCCCAAACCCCCGTTCGTCCTCATACCTCGAGTCGAGCGGCAACGCCAGTCCCCTGCAGCCCTCCTCTTCCTTCAACACCGACGAAACCAAGCTCAGAGCCGCCACCGCAACCGCTACATTACCGCGCGTCTCGCCGGCTGAGACCACCGCTCCTCCACTAACCGACTCGCTTCTACCCCTCGTCATTGCTCAGTACCATCTCAGATCCCGAACCCGCCTGAGCACCCCACCGCCGACCCGCCCACCACTCGACCCACCGTCCGCCGCCTCAAACCTCGTCAACCCGCGGCCTGCCACTGTCAGCTCCTACCCGAAGCCACAGTCACATTCCCTCACTCCTCGCCATGACCAGAAGCCTGTGACCGCCGTCAAACCAGCGCCACCGCTCGTCGAGCTCGCCGTCCGAGCCCACCGCCCTCACCCCGCACCGAGCCCCACCAGATCCCGTCAGCCCCAAACTTGAGAACTCTGCTGCCTCTCTCTTCAACCGTCGCCGCTGCCGCGCGTGGATCCATAGTCTCGCACGTTGACGTTGATCCGTTCGATGAAACCCCGAGGCAAGATCCCGCTTGCTCAGAACTAATTTTTCTATTTATTATGAATTATCCGCAATTTTAGATCTGTTAATATTTATCTGCGTGGGTTTGATGAATAATTTTGAATGGATAGTAATTATGGGATAAATAGTATTTTAAGGACAAATATAATAAATTAAAGAATTTATTTTGAATAACAAAATTATTATAATATTTTTAGAATTTATGTTGCGGAAGAAAATTATTTTAGAATGATAAATGTTTTTAAAGAAGTTATTTTGGAAAAGGATTATTTTTATGACTGTGTGATTGATAGTTGAAGAACACGACATTTCATGTACATTGATACCGACATGATGACACTCTTATTTATACTCATTCATTGTCACATATGCATACCTGATTCATCGCTAGTCTATATAGTCATGTTCATCATATGATTTGCATAAAATAGTTATATTTATTTATTATTTCTTGTTTTATTGATAACCGTTAGTAGTTCATGTTCTTAGTGGTCTAGCGTGTCGTGTATAGGACCTAGATACCTATGTTTGTTGACTTAGAAAAGCGAGAAGAATTGAGATGGGGAATTCCTGGTTTAGGTGATCAGATGTGATTGTTGATTATTCCAGGCTCGAACTAACGATATTCCTGTGTAGCGTTGGGGTGGGTCTGAGGTGATGTGATATTATGCTTGTTGATTATTTCCAGGCTTGCACCAGTGAAATTCCTGTGTAGCACTGGGGTGAGTCTGAGGGGGTAGTGAAACGTTGTGCGTAGAAGATTTTGTGAACAATCGGTTATCCAAGAATATGAACGTTGACTCTGGGTGAGATAAGGACAAGTGAGTTGTGATAGGATGGCTAGTTGTGTTCATTTCGTACATAGGTTGGGGTTAATATTTAATTATCTATAATTTGAGACATATGGTATATACATAAGGGTTTCCTTGTTTGGATTATTTCACTCGACGTACTACGTCTCTTGTTGTAGATTTTTAAGTATTAATTCCATCTATTGTATGATCTTGTTACTTGGTTGATATTTGGATTCTTCTGATTATTAGTATTCCAGTTGCACACCTCTATCGTTATTACTATCATCACATGATCTATTTCTGTTTCTGTTATCGCATTGACCATGCATATATTGTCTTTACTGTTATTGTATTTGTTCCTACCTTTGGGGATCTTGCCGTGTGTATACACGCTGACGTACTCCTATTTTCTGGGTGTACGTCAGATTTAGGAGACGGACAGCCTCAGTTCGGAATCGTGCAGGAGCCAGAGGATTCTCAGTAGGAGTGTCTTGCAGGTGGAGTAGAAGAATAAGCTGAAGCCCATTAGTTTTCCTTTGCAGTAGCTGATGAACATTAAAACCTTTTTACCGTACTTTTCTCTAGTTGATGACGGATTTAGTATTTTAACAGTACTTTCTTTATGGACTATGTATTTCTTATTTTTTAGTTGGACTGTTTTATAATAAGGGTATTTTGGACCCATATTTTATGTCTGGGATGATTTACTGTTGATGATATGTCTATTCCTTATTCTGAGTTGTCTTTATATTCTTGCTATTGTGATCGGGAACCTGTGACTTCGCATTGTATTTATTTCTAGACGCTTAGCGTATTGGATTGAGAAGAAAAGAAAAGAGAAAAAAATGATAGTGTATATTCTTCTCAATCTAATACGTCGCGGGCTTGTTCACGTTCTGGTTCCCGTGTATTTTGGGAAGCGGGGCGAGACAGGTTTTAGTGGTGGCCCATGCAGGTCACGGTCCCGAGTCCTCACTAGTAAGAATATGGTAGACAATTTAGATACATATCATATTTCATCCGTAAGACTATGATTAAGTTCTTATACTATTATCTTAATAACTATGTTTTAACTCCTATTTTCTAATATATTGTTTTGATTTTAACCCTAATTCTTCTATTTTCTAATATATTGTTTTGATTTTAACCCTAATTCTTTGATCCTCGTTTTCCTTCAGAACTATGGTGGGTACTCGCGGTGTTAGTAACTCGTCTAGTAGCGGTGCCCCACAGGCCGAAGTGGATCCAAACCAACTTCTGGCGATGATTCAGGGATTGGTCACCAATCAGCAGCACTTGGCGGGACAGCTTCACAGGGAGCCGCAGCACCAGCTTCCCCCTCGCGCAGAGTCTGGAGTTAGAGAGTTTCGATATATGCAGCCTCCTTCCTTTTCTGGTGCCGAAGGACCTTTAGCAGCAGAGGAGTTTCTCAAGGTCACTAAGACTATTCTCACGGTGACCCGCATCCCCCATGCTGAATGGGTGGACCTCATGGATATTCAGCTCACCGACACCGCTCGGATTTGCTGGACTACAGAGAAGGCTCATTTGGAGAGACCGATTTCGTAGGATACCTTCACAGACCGTTTCAACAGGAAGTACTTTCCTCAATCAGCTCGGGATGAACTCCTACGTAGATTTGTTAAGCTTAAGCAAGGAGGGTGAACAGTTGATGAGTACGAGGCCGAGTTTTCTTCCTTGAGTCGATATGCTCCTCATCTTGTTGCAGACCCTACCATTAGGAGGCATCAGTTTCAGAAGGGTCTGGATAAGTATATCAGGTTTGCTCTAGCTGGTCGAGCACTTGCGATGCACGATGCAGTACTGGATGCAGTACGTGAGATTGAGAGCGTACAGAAGGAACCTAAAGACCCGCACATGATTCAGAGCAGGACACCAGCAGCTCCGGCCCGAATTGTCGAGCGTCCCCCTCCGAGACAGCAGCAGCAGAACCCGCAGAGGCAGCAGAATTCTCAGCGTCAGCCATTTCATCAGGCTCACCCTTATCAGCATCCTGGAGTGCAGTCTCAGAGCCTGTCTTCGGTGAGGTGTTCTTATTGTAGATACCCTGGGCATACCGAGCAGGAGAGTCGCAGACGTCATCATCTGTGCTATGCTTGTGGATCCTCCGACCATATCAGTCGAGACTGTCCACAGCGACAGCAGGCCCGCTTGCCCCCACCTCCAGTTCGAGCGGCTCTTCCAGCACCACCTCGATCAGACTCAGCAGCTCCAGCTCAGCACGGACCTTATCCTCGAGTAGGGCCTCTTCCTCAACAGCAGTAGGTTTATCAGGAAGCGCGAAGGCAGCAACCACCTCGTCAGATGTTCACGATGTCAGCTGTGGAAGCAGAGGCGAACAACCAAGTTATCACCGGTAAGAATAGTTTATTCTTAGTTTTATTTGCGTATGAACTTTCTTATTCCGCATTGCCTTATGATATTATGATAGGAATTATTTATGAGTGCTAGTTTAGATGTATTTTCCTTCTATACTAGATAAAGTTCTTGTTCTTCCATTCTTGCTTTATCACCCTTGACTCTGGAGCTTCTCATTATTTCTTGTCTCGTTGATTTACGAGTACCAACTCTCGTTCCATATCTCTGTCCTTAGGTTTAATTCCGAGGACGGAATTTGTTTTAAAGGGGGTAGGATGTAATGACCGTGAAATTTTGATATTAATTAAAATAATTTTCTAGCGTTTTAAAATATTTAATTATGATTTCTAAAAGAGTATTTGTATTTTTATTGATTTTCTAAAATTTTCTATGATTTAAAAATCTGATTATATATTTATTTAAATGATTTTGATATTTTTAAATTTATTTTGTGCGGTAAAAAGTTCTGGAATTAATTTGTTGTGTTATCGACACTAATACGTATTATTTTAAATAATATATTGTATTATTAATATTATTACAAATTATTTCATATAATACATAGTATTATTAATTACGTGTTTTTGGTATAATTTATTGTATTATTTCTATTGTTACATATTATCTGTCGTATTAGTATAACTAGTACGTTTTACTGTGTATATAATTATCCCATAATTATTTGATTTTAAATATAAGTAAATATGTTCTCATTATTATTTATTCTTGTTTAATTATACAATATGGGTATTTTTCGACTATTTCGTATCAATTGTTGTAATAGCACAACATGTGCGTTTTTATTTGTAGATAATTATTCTGTAATTAGTTAATTTTTTAAGTACTTATAATTAATTATTTTAATTAATTTGGTTAAATAC